TCTCTGGGCATGCTGAGCAGCAGGAAACGATGTTTAGACTGCCTGATGTCTCAAACTGCTGTGAGCTAGCTGCACAATCCTAGTCCTCTAGACTTTCTGAAAGTACCTCCACAAGTCCTGCTCCCACAGTCCCTGACTTCCCACAGAATGGAGGATGTTTTACACCACATCCCAACAAACACCTAATGCCCATCAGTTACACATGGGATCTGCTAAAGGCCTTCCTTTATACCCACAACTCACAGCAGGCAGGAAATATTCTCCTCTGAATTTGCATGCGGGCATATCGCAGCATAATGTTCTGATACTTCCAGGTGTTGAACTGACAGTCTAAGGCAAGTATTAGAAATGTATTCACCTGTATTTCTGTCAAATTTGGCAATTTACTGTCAAAAGCTAGAAGTTTTCATGGTGTATTTATGAAGGAAATGTATCCCATGTAACATAGTATTTAATAAGTAGACTTATTGTCCCCCAGAAATTCTATGAGTAAACAACATTCTGGGGGTCCATTTTAAGATTAAATTGTTTTAATATAGATTATAAATATAAAAATACAGATTATTTCTAGATATAGAAATAATATTAATTAATATAGATGGATTCTAGAATTATAGATTATAAATATAGAAAATAACTGTTTTCTATGATGATACAAGAAAGTTTTTTTTTAAGTTAATAGTATTTTGAGAGCCATTTTGATTACATCAAAGACAGTATATGATGAAACAGGGCAGAAGAAAGTCAGATGAATTGGGATATAATGCTAAAATTTTGGCTGGTTCTCTCCTATTTGTATGGGATATTGTCCTTAGTTTGAAATCTCAAGAAGACACTTACCAAAGATTCCTGTTGAAGTGGGCCAGGTAAAAAAGAAGTGCGTCCTGTTCCTGATGTATTATAACTTGCAAGAAATGTCTGTGGCTGTTTAAAGAGCTGTTAAGAGAGTCCTGCAGCACAATGTCACGCTATGCACAACTCAGACAGCATTTTAGCTGTGCTGTGGGGATGAGGTCAAGAGTCAAAAACTTCCTACCAGGGTTTTTGCCTTCCTCTTAATGCAGTTGGTAGAATCACAAATATTTTAATGGCAGATAGGCACATTTGTATAAACTGCTTTTGCTTACTAAAGTCCAGGAAACCTCACAAAGGTAGAAATGAAATCAAAATAAAAGAACTCAGTTCATTTTTTGTCTGCTCAACCGAGTTTGGCCCTCTATGTATTTGCCTTCTGGACATTGTCTTAAGGGATGTGTAGGGTTGACACCTATTTTAGCAAAAAAGCTGGTCTGTAAAGTTGTCTGGTTATCTCTGATGGGGTTTTTTTTCCTCCGCTGCCAGGCTAAAATTTTGGTGTGAAAATTAGAAAGGAAGAAATATATTTGTGTATCTGGAATACTGTGAATTTAATACATTAGGGTTATTTACATGTACATAAGCTGTGCTCTTGCTATGATTTCCAGAAGCATTCAATCCACAAAAAAATCCTATAACTCTCTGTAACCAAATTCCTTTGTTGTTTTATTTTAAACACTAGTAATTTAAAAGGCAAAAATGCTTCCTCCTAACTTCGAAACACTTACCAATTAAGACATGTTCAATGTAAGAAATATTCAGGCAGAAATAGCATGGTTTTTAGGATTTCAGCCATTCAAAAAGAGACCCACAAGGATGGCTCCTTGACAAAGACTCATGGTTGCCATGGATATAAAAAAAATAAACAGAACAATAAGAAAAAAAGAACTCTGGAAGCAATGAAGAATTAAGCAGCACACCAAAAAAGGACATAGTTCGCCACCTAAACACCAAGAGTTTTGGTTTTTATCTTTATTGCCCATGTGCTCTCTTTTAATACAAATATATATATATTTTTATATGTAAGCGTCAAACAAGGCTTCAAACAAGTAGACTCTCTTCATATTTCAGTACAGGCATGGGGTGATAAATCTGTCACAAAGTTTATTGCAGATTTTCAAAGGAATTTTGACTTCTCTATCACCAGGGAAAAACATCCAGAATAAACAAAACTGAATATTCTAACAAACAGTCTGAAAACTTGAGATCCTAATAAAACATCTAAGGGGATTCAGCCCCTTTATGAACAGTAAAAAAAAGCCTCTTTTCTCACCCTGTTTCCTGAAAAAAAAGCAATAGCTCCTGCTAAAGTTAGTACATTAGGCTTCTTACATTTATTTTGTGGAATTTGGTCGTTCTTGTGCTCTCAATACATCAACAAGAAGGATTATTCATTAAAACTACAAATTACTTCTTTAAAAACCTATCAAATATTTCACTTTTCCCCAGTTATTAAACAGCAATGAGCTATTTTAACTTGCTTCCCACTTGAAAAGTATTCAATATAAGAAATCCCATTCCTGTAAGTTTATTACCAGCATAACTGTTGAGTTAGGCTTTAAAAGAAGAAAACTTGTAGTTCTTCAGTCTCCAGTTGGTTTACCAACTCAGAGCATTTTGAGAGACTTGCTCAGCTTTCACTGGCTACTCCTACAGGAGTTTAGCTTCTTGTAGCCTTATTTGATGTAGATCCTTAGCACCAAGAACATCTGAACTTCTCTAAACCCAAATAACTCTGACTAACTTGAGCCTCTTGTTCAGAGTTTTTGTGGTTCTTTGTTGACTTCAGGTGGTTCCAAACCCAAATAAAGCTAGTACAACACTGGCCAGCAAAGATGAGCTCAGTCACATACATTTCATGTCAAGATTGTTTGACATGTAAAGTTTGACCCAGTTTTCTTCAATTATCAAATAGAGGTTAAAGAAGAAGTTCCAGATGAGGACTCTTCCTCCAAGGGGGCACTCTGCACAGTGCTGGGATAGATTTGGGCCTTGCTCTCTTCTCCTACAGCGTGCAGGTTTTTTATGGATGTAATGCTGGAGATCATTTTGTTGTTTCTTCCCATGGCCACATATCAGGAGCAAGATGCTGGTGATAATTGGATGTCCATGTTCTGGAGTGCCCCACAGTAATATTCCAGAGCCAAATTGTCAAATCAGGATGGTGAGCAATACAGCATTCCCTGTTCCCAGTGAGGAGATGGATTCACCATCCCTGGAAATATTGAGGAATGACTGGACCTGGAACTTGTTCACATGAAGATGTTCAGTCAAAGATAGGACTTGAAGATCTTGGGGGTCTTTTCTAACCTGAATGGTTCGGTGATTCTATGATATCCAGCCTTCCTTCTCTCAACAGGATAGAGAGAGTCTATGATTCCTCAGCAGAGGCTTCAGGGATGGGAAGAGACAAGTCTTGATTTTTCCAAGTGCTCCTGTCCCAGGGTGAGTGCGGTGTTAACTGGCAGCAGCCACCAGATTTGTGCTGCCAAGGTTCTGCACTGTCACACTGCTGAAATGCTTATTAAATAAAAGCTCTGTGACTCCAAACAACTTCACAAAACTGTATGAGAGAGGAACTAACCCCTGAAAAAACTTTAAAATAAACTGTGATTTTCAGATAAGCCTCCAGAATAGAAATTAAGACCTGCAGTGTGAATGTCATCAGACACTCACTATACACAAGTCCACCCAGCAGACAAGGTCTGTAAGCAATTTAATGTGGTTTAATCTATTTTAGTTCAGTGTAGCAAATCAATAATCTGTGAAGAGCTCTACTTAAAAAGGAAGGACTTGACAGCTGGTCAAGGAAGGGCCTGTAATGGCAGATACTTGATTATTACAAAAAGAAAAGTTTGACAAATTTTATATGTTTCAGTATTATATGCAAGTTTACCTTCAGTGGAGGGGCAACATTAATGCAAACAAAATGTCATGAGGCTAAAAGAGGAAAGAGCTCCAGATAAATGGTAAATGAGATGTGTCATCAGTAAAATGCAGAGAAAAAAGGTTGCCCTCATAAAAATTCTCTTTGCCAAAATAGAGACTACATGTAGGAAACCCTACTCATGCAGAACAAGAAGCACAAGTTCAAGGCCAGTTTGAAGTGGGACTTCCTGCCTATACGTACTTTTTGATGATACCTACAATTGGAAATTTTGCAGAAATTATAAGATTTGGCATCATCAAAAGAAGAGCTAAAGCATAAGTAATTGGCATGAGGTTTCCATAGTACAACTGAATAAAATTAATTTAGTGTGTTTCTATTTCAATGAACCACTAAGCCGAAACCATTTTGGTCATAAAATAAAAAAGTTTTCGATTTGAATGTTAAGTCCAAAATTATATCTACAACAGTAGTTGTCTAAGATACTTCCCTTTCATAATAAATAACTGTTCTCCTCTTTCACAAAAGAGGAGCAATGGGATTTTATTAATTTATTAGCTTTTTCTTTGTATTCTAAAGAAGAGCATTTGTGTAAGAGGAAAGCTGGATTTACAGAGAAAGCTATTTTTATGTCTCCCAGCAGAAGATTTTATCAGTCAGTCTAGCTCTTGAAATGTCCTCACTTTCCCTCCTGACCCATTCTCTCTGCCGTTTGCGTGTCTGGCTTCACTTACTGTGAGGAACACCCATGGAAGCCAGCTGTCAAAAAGTGTGCTGGCTGAGGAGGAGGATGTTTGCTCTGACAGACGTAGGATTTGTGCTGAAGGTCCTTCTAAAACATGTCCCATTTCCTCTGCCATTTCCAGGAGTGATGCAAGAATTGTCTGGTGAGTTGTTCTCCTGTGTTACTCAAAAAGTCCACTTAGGAGACTGCAGAGGACTCCTGCTCCTTCCTCTGTGCATTTCATGACAGAGATCTGAAAACCAGGGTTGGAACTGGCTGAATTGAGTGCCAGCACAGAGAGCAAGATTGTGTGTTCTGAGATTGTTTTTTTCAAAACACTCAGGTAGCAATGGCATTGTAAAAACAGAGGCACCTAGCAGAAACAGAAACTCTAGTAGAGCCAGCTGAACCACATACCACCACAAATCCTGTCGTGAAAAGAGTTTAACAATTTTGCAAGGGGGAAGAACAAAACTGCTCATACTCAGATTTTTCTCCTTTCTGTTTGTGTTTTGAAAAAAAAAAGCAGATAATATCCTGGAGAGATAAGGAATTCAGACCACGAGGTGTTCTCTGCTCAGATTAATGTACATCTTTTGTTTTTTGCAGATCCAGGACCAAGACATATGTTTGAAGAAAATGGGGAGAGGTACAAAAACAAAACACAAGGAATATGATATTTACTGTGTATGGTTATTGAGACAAAAATCCCTGTATTTGGAACACTAGGAAAAAAGGAATAAGAAACATGGATCTCCAGTGCTTTAACAGCATATAAATAAGTTGAAAAAGGTAGAACTCAATACATAAGCATTGCTGCAATGAGGCAGGAAGTGTCTTCTGGAAAGGATGCATTTACTTACAGTATCTCTGAAAGATCTCAGGGCTAATTAATTAGAAATTATATGCAAATATATATAGCATGTTAATATATAGCAGTGTATAGAGTCAGAATATTAGGAAAGCAAAAAACTCTGTTGACAGCTGTGCTCCTTTTTTGAGTGGTTCTATTTTATAAAATTTACCTTTAAAATTGTATGACTTTAATAGAAAGGGATTATCTTCTCATCCTTTTCAAAAATTCAGCCTTTGCCTTCACAACCCAAGAATCAGCCTTGGAACAACTTGTCTCCAACTACAGCAGGACAGTGCCTTTCATTACTTCAAGCAGATGATCCTTCCAAATGCTACCCAAAGCCAAATAAACAAGTGGAAGTAAAGTAAATACCTTTTATAGCAGACTTGCTACGAAAGTCTGTATACACCTTTGATATGACTGTATTCACCCTTGAGCCTCCTACACTGCACTTACTTATGGGCATAAATGTGCAGTGCAAGCTCCACAGTGGGAGCGCTGTTGCAATTTGTCCCATACACAGAGAAATCAAAAATGGAGAGAGCAGGAGTGGGGGAGGCCTTTATGGACTTTGAATGTAGTGCAAATATCTCTGGCACCCACAAAACAGAGCCTAAGAAAGCCAAACTATGGAGCCTGGGTGCTAAGAAGCTTGAAAGTAGAAATTTGGTCTTAGTCAGACAGCTCTGAGAAGTCCCACAAGTTTTAGTGGTCCCCTGCATTATATAAATTGGTTGAACTGCCAGTGGCACTGCATTTCTCCTGTTTCCTCTTCACAGAAGCTCAGACTGAACTGAGAATTGTACTGGAATGAGAGAAGAGTGACTGTGCAGCACCAGTTTTTAAGTCCTGTTTCTGAAGAGTTTGAGTTTCTGAGGTTCTATGAGCAGGTAAAATCTCCCTCTTCTGCTGCTGGGCAGTGTTGCAGGCTCCTCCTCAACACTTGACCCCATTCATACCGCATTTTTGGATGGGGCCATGGGTGCTGGGGAGGTGGGGGAAGATATGGAGGCTGGCCTGTTACAACAAAGCCTGTGTGTGGGGAATATGCAAGCCCACAGAACTACAGTACAGGCAATTTCATTAGATCATACATCCCTGGTGAAATGCTTTTCTCCATCATTCTGATGATGACTCATATACAGCTTCAATTGGTCTGCATCTTATGTAAGATATCCTGAGACTCTATGGCATAATTTCTAGGGAGTGAACAAAAAAATGATATAAAATACAAGAAAGAAATCTGTCAGCCTTAGGCTGATGGCAAGAATTTCAGGCTACATGGGGTGACAGGTCTTGGGACAATATCTGTGGCTTTACCATTTATTTGCATTGCCCTGGTCCAATAAGGCACTGGATCTATTACAGAGACAATAATGCAATATTCATTTATGAAACTGCAGGCATGTCTTTCAATCAAATAAGGAAATCCCTGAGAATGGGTTTATGATAGTGCCAGTGAAAGTTCAGTGCACACCCAGCCCTGAAAAAAATCTACCAGATACTTACTACCAGGCAGGTGGGAAAACACAGACTGGTAGAGATAGCAGGAGCTGTGTCCAGGAATTATACAGATTTATATCATGAAAAATCTCTCTTTGGTCTTGAGTTGTGGCACAGAAAACTTGGCTGATGAGTCTGTGAATGGATAGGAGATGCACAGCTGAATTATTAGCTGTATATAGTTCCAAAAGACCTTCACGTGCCTCATGGTACTAATTTCTAAGTTATTAATCATGGCCTTACAACTAAGTCATGAGACTGAATCAGAAAGCTTTATCTGATTTGAGAAGGCATCCTGTTGATCTATGACAATATGCTGTGTTTCTATTAAGGGATTAACGTCAGGATTTTCTGTTACAGTAATTACAGAAATTCATAGTTGTTTGAGGAAAAAGATACTGCAGAACTGAAATAGTTGATATTTTATGAGTCTTGTACATGAGCTAGTAATTGTCATGTTTCTGCCCGAATATTTAATGTATGGCCAAGTGCCATGAGACAGATTTCTCCCTAGCACTCACACATTTTTGTTTTGGCTGTGGAAGCAATGAAGGGAGATTTGTTTGTCCTAAATGAGTGACCTAGAAGTTTGAGGTTATGAGAGTGGATTAATCAAGATTTTCTTCATACCTTATGTTTCTTCATACATAACAGGAAAGGATAGGACCATCCTAGGCATTTACCTCATCAAACAGGTTCCACACAGATTTGGACATTCTTCTTTGTTGCATGCCTCTCTTCTTAACATCTTAACAAAAGAGAAGCCAGCTTATACAAATGTTTAGTTCTGATTCTTTAAATAAAATTAATTAATAAAATAAGAAGACTTCTCATTTTCTGCATAGTTTAAAATAATCCACTTAACTAGACACCCACAGATACCTACCTAAAGATGAAAAAACATATTAAAATGAAAGAGAGTTTTCTAAATCAAGCATCACAAACTGGAAAACATCTGAAGTAAGACCAGTTGCTAACTCCCATCATATCATAAGTATCAAACAACTACCAGTAATACTCCAAATTTCCTGGTACAACTGCAAACACTTGCTCAATTGGACTTTCCTCCTTAGGAATGGACAGTCCAACTTCACCTTGCAAATCTGGCTGAAAAATTTCTGTGTTGCTGGTCACCCATCTCTGCCCATTAATTTTCTTCAATGTAGTACAAAACAGACCAACATCTTGAAGAAAATTAATTCACACAGTAGATTCCTTACTGATTTCCTGGTTTCAAAAAGAGAACCTTACCCAGTGACTACTCTGGAGCTCAGTTCTAGCTGACTACAAGTAAAAGCAAGATGCGACTTCAACTTCCTTCAACTCAACTGGGCACCCCTTTCAGGCATGGGACAGAATTATGAAGCCCAGTTGTTGTTGCTATTATTATTATTATTATTATTATTATTATTATTATTGTTATTGTTGTTGTTGTTGTTGTTGTTGGTGGTGGTGGTGGTGGTGGTGTTGGTGTTGTTGTAAACCTTGGTCTGAGCTGAAAGGTCACAACACAGGTTTTCCCTTGGCCACAACTTAAAAATATTACAACATTTAGCAGGGATTAATAATAAGAAATTATAAGACTCAAACTGCTCATGACCACAAGCAATTTGGCTCTGTGTTTAAGAGCGACATTAGAAATGCCAGATTCTTAAATCACAAGCAGGTATGAGAAAAAGAAAACAACCCTGTTTGTTCTTCCTTAGATGCAAATTTTGGCGAAAAAAAGGAACTTGAAAGAAATCAAACGCCATGTCACCACAATGCTGCATTCACATATGAATTGCTTGTGTTTACTGTTATAAAAACCCCAACATTTCAAACAAGAGCAATGGTACATCTCAGAAAATAGAAAGCTTGCTCTGAAAAGGGCTGAACTTATCAAAGCCCTATATTCCATCCTTTTCTTTTCAAGGAAATATCATCACAGAATTTTGGTAAAGTTTTTATTCTAATGTAAAGGCCTTTTGTGGAAGAAAATTATTCAGGTAGGGCATTTGCAAATGACTGCATAAACAACCCATTCATGGAAGCCTGCTGCATCATTTTCTGCTTGAAAGATCAATTCATATTTTAGGTAATCAGTGTAGCGGCTATATCAGTGTGTGCTCCTTCTGGAGTCATATCTTTTCAGACTGAGATTGCTTTACTGAAAAAAAAAACCCATGGAGCTAGACTGGATTTACATAAACTGAAAAATTACAAATGTGCAGCTATAGCAATTACATTAAGGGAGATATATTTTGAAGACATACTGCAGATATAAATGATGACATAAATTGTTGAATTTGAAAGATCAAACTTAGAGCACCTGCACTGCTTATAGCTGTAACCTTAGCTTGCCAGTGATTCCCTTACCTGCTTACCCACTATGGAATTGCATTTAATATTTATGATACTGAACACAGATTATAGGGATTTTTTATTGATGTTCTGAAAACATGGGCTTTTGCTGTGCTCTGTTGGTGACTGCCCATTCACAATTCATGCCATATGTCAAACACTTGCCCTTTGCAAAAACAGAAAGACCCCCTGAAAAATACAGCCTCCACTCAGTCAGCTTGGGGAAGCAAGAATAAAGGGAAAAAGCATTCCCATAGGCCAGAGAAAGGGAACAGGGCAGAAGTGTGGCAAGGTTCCTAGCCCAGTGGAGGGAATCATACATGTGAAAACAAAAATACTTCATACTCCTGCCCTGATTGTTTACCTCCCTCTCAGCTGGGAATGAATCCCATGTCATGCAGGAAAGACACCTCAAGGAATTTTGCACACAAATCCTTCAATACTGAATTAAGAAATATCAATCATATTTTTCTTCAATTCTTTCCTTTCCACTATCTCTTTTCTCACAGACGGGCCAGGAAAAAGGCTGGGACACCAAACAGCCCGTGGAATGCAATACATTTCTCAAAATGGTGAGCAAACCCCTTCAGTCTCAGAGCTTATGGAATGAGTTTTTAGAGGCTGTCCTGGGCATCCAGTTGTTTTAATGTTATAAATTTCCAGAAGACATTGATGGTCTATGATAATTTTTTCCCCCCACTGTGCTGCCTCAGAAGTCTATGGAGATGTGCTTCAGGAGGAGAGGACTCTCCAGCTTTACACAGCCATTAATCCCAACCAGAGCACTCCAGTTAATGAGACTCTGGCTCCTTGCCTACAAACAGATTCATCTTTCAGAGTCAGGGAATGGAGACAAATTTACAGTGGTTCTTTGAAAAGGGCGTTAAAAATATTGGATTTTCACTCTTCCAGTCACGTGAACATGACTCTGACTATAGAAATGGGGAAACAATTCATCTCTCAGTAAGGCAATACATTTCAGAAGCACAATGAAGATATTTTTAGTATCTAAGCAACTGGCCACTGTGGCATCTTTTAAAATAACAAATTCTTCTCTCCCTAACTGAAGCTTGCAGAATTAACCTGGAAAATTTCAGTCATGCTTCTCCCACTTGTTGGTCAGCTATGAAACTGCTCACTTTTTGTTTTCTTGCTTTTGCAGCTGACATGACTGAGACATTCTCTCCTCAGCTTGGGGTTTTTAGAACCTTTTTAGGCAGAATTTTATTCCCCCAATGGCATTTGAAAAATGTTTTACTTTGGAAAACTCATTTAAGAGAAAACGTACCTTCTCCTTAACCAAAGGCATACATATTTCTCTATATACAGATTAATTAGTATAAGTTAATTAGTATCAGAAATGACAAGAGTTAGACTTTAATTGTGTGTGTAAATTGCCCATCTTTACTAGGGTTACTTTGATTTTCAGGAATGGAACTTTTTTTTTGTGGATACAAGTGAGATTCTAAGGAGTGTATAATGAATATGTAATTTAATGACAATTCAATTTTACAGAGACAGGAGGTGGAAAATATTTGATGTAGGTGTCCAGGCTTTAACAGTGGAGGGTCTTGCAGCACTGGCCTCTGTGAGAAGAGGCCAAGAGTTAAGTTATGGTGGACACAGATGATTCCAGGCACTTCCAGCTGGCTCCAACAGACCCAAGACAGGACTTAGCTGAGCCCCCCAGTCAAGCTCGCATCACCTCTCAGCAAAGGTCACAATGCTGTGAATAGTGAGATTTATAAAATGCAAACACCAAGGTGAGAAAAGGAGGAGATGGAAGAAGCTGTCCAAGCTCCACAGCAGGGATTCCCCCTGTGGCCCATGGAGAGGATCACACTAGAGCACAAAGCCACATTGCAATAAATGCAGGACCTTACGCCAGAAGAGGTAGATATTTTCTGTCAGGAAGTTCTGCCTGTGGAGGGCTCCTCTTCCCAAAAATTATGCAAGCTGGGCTACATCATGCTTGAAAAATCCTCTTTCTCCACCAGCTGTAGGAGTCTAAACAATAACTGTTAATACAATTAAATACTATATTTATAGGACACATGGGATTGCTTGTGAACTTTACATTCGAACCCTGTCTCATTCTGGAATAACTGTGCCTTGCAGGCAGAAGGACATGATGGGCCAAGTTATGGTGCTTTTCTTTCTGTCCTCCTGGTGCTTGACTTCTGCTTCCATCCAATACTCAGGGACCACTGAGTCATCAGAAAAATATGCCATTATTAGGGGTACCTTCTGCAACACCAGTTGAAAAAACCAGGAATGAATCCTGCAGTTAGAAAGCATGATACAATTAAGGTGTATCTTCCTTTCATACTGCTGCATTGCATTTTAACTACTCAGAGCACCATTCACCAGGTCAGCAAGGTGCCCTCTTTTGTAGCACAGTACACCTGTGAGTCTACACTGCTGTTAAACACTTCATTGCTATTTAAGGGGAATTCAGCCTTGTCCTGTCAACAAGGCAGGTGGAGTGAGGTGATGAATGTTGCTACCATAATTTCTGTGAACACATACCCTTGTGTCAGCAGAGTTACACCAGCAGCCTTTTCAGTTACAACAGAGAAATAAGTGCATATATTTTATACTATTTTCTTGGGCCAAGAATCCCTTCACATTATCACCGCACTGAAGTGTTTTGGGGAATAAATATCAGGAGGGGATTTTTTGAAACACAAGCTTAAAGTGACCTGAAATACTGCAATGTGGAGCTTATTGTTCCCATCCTGTTCTTCAGATGTATCACAGATGACCTTGAACTTTTGAGTTCTGAGCCTGGCCCCAGACTGAGGAGTGAGGATTTCACAAAGAAATCCTTTTGTGGTAATAATTTCCTGAAGCTGTTCTGTGCAGTGATTTGTTTCCCACTCTAGGTTTCCTCACTGAAAATGGGATGTAAGCATTGACAACTGGGTTGTAATGACTCATCCTTACTTTGTTCTTTTCAGATGGAGTGGTTTTGGGGTTGGTGTGGATTTTTTTTGTTGTTATTTTGTTTTGGGTTTTTTTGCAGAGGATTTTTGGTGTCATTTTTTTAGTAGCAACATATCATTCCAGAGAAGAAAAAAAATCCCATACCACTATTTCCTGCTTTCTTTATTGTAGTCTGTCAGCTTCTGGAAAAAAAGGATCTGGTTTCTTGGTCTTTTGAACAGCTATGAACTCTCTGCTAACCTTCTCTTGAAAGTTCCAGAATGCTGAATTGGCTACCTTTCTCTGTGGGTGAAATCCAAATGCTGTTTTCTGGCTAACTCATCCCTTCACAGTCCTGTGAAAGCAGAATGACACAGGTGGTTCTTGCCACAAACCCATTATTTAGAGACTTTCAGATGCTAATGCCACTGATTATACAAAGAGATCTCACCTTATATGCCTCTGAAACAAAGTTTACTTGTACAGCATTGAAATAAAGAGGGAGAATTTGCCAGAACAGAGTCCTTTCAGAAGAATTATTTTTTAGCATCAGTGGAGGATAGAAAGATTATGCATTGAATAAAGATGGTAAATTATTTTTTCTTTCAAGGAAAAATAAAGGACACACAAAATTAAAAGCAGTATTGCTTAAAAGGCAAATCACAACACGTATAGACCACAATAAATGAAAATTCACACTTCATCTCCTTAGAAACCACTATTAGGGCAAAACATGGTAAATTACTCTATAGAAAATGTAGGAAAAAAAAGTACCTAGTGCAGAGAAGAACCATTCATTTCTTTGCATGATTGTTAACAGTTAATGCTCCCCCTTCAGTCGACAGAGATTTTAAAAGCTTTTCTTTCTTTCTTTCAGCAGGGAAGGCTGAGATTGTTTGTGCATTAATGTTTAATAGTGAGTGCATTGCAGCTGTAAACAGAGGAGAGTACAAGGAAAATGAGTGAGTTGTCCTGTCCTGTCACAGGATTCCTAAATGTCCTTGTGCAGCTCACGTCAGTCAAGATGAAGGAACAGGGGAGTTCTAAGAGATTCAGACAAAAATCAGAGCATGTGCAGGCTGAGGTGTCTTCTGAAGACACAGGTGTGAGCCCAGCTCATCTCAGCTGAGATTCATGGTGCCATCATCACCAGACTTTTCTCAGGTCCCCAGATCCATCAACTCTGCTTTTCTCTCAGGATCACACCATTCCTCTGTCCAGCAGCACTTCATTTTTAACTAAGATGAGAAATTCACAGCTTAACCTCATTGGATATCCTACCCTTCCCTCTGTGTCTCTTGGGAAGTGCCTTAAAGAAGGTGAGCAGCAGGCCAGCAAAAGTCACAGTAATGAGCTTCACATGATCACGAGTAAAGCTTTAGTCAGAGTGCACAGATAAGGTCTTACTTACCCACTTATTTTGTTACAGATTATAATATTGTAAGTACTGCCTGTGCATCCTGCAATAAGAGGAGCTTCTTTTTCCATGCAGTTACTTCAAACTACTGTTCATGTATTCCTCTTCTGTTCAGTTTTGTGAGCACTTGGCTTGAAAAGACGGGTGTCTGCTAAGGAGGGCAGCAGCCTTTCTTGAAATGGAAAATGTAAACTCCCTCCCTCCAAATTATTATTTTAATTTTGAAATTAAGGGGCTCTCAGACAAAGATATGAAAGCAAGAATAACAGTTCTTTATTAGGAAAAAAAAAAAAAGATAAAAATAAGCAATACAGTAATACAAAACAACACTGACAGAGTCAGAATAGAACCCGACACCCTGTGGGTCAGGGTGTTGGCAGCAGTCCCATTGGAACGGTGGCTGCAGTGCTCCTGCAGTGACAAATGTCATCCTGTTGGAGCAGTGATCCCCTAGAAGGCTGCAGTTTTCCTCTGAAGGTCCAGTGGTGATGTAGATGGGCCTGGTCTTCCTTTGAGAATCTAGTGGAGAAGAAAACTGCTCCTCTGGGAGCATGAGGGAGCTGGGAGCTGGATGACTTGAGGAGTCATGCAGCCACTGAGTGCACCCAAAGAATATATTTCATCTATAAGATGTGTGGAATTTCAATCAGGCAAGCTGACTGCTTGAATGCCAGAATAATAAAGATGGTTTCAGGCCATTTCAGTCTGATCTAAATATCTGCCTTTTATGAGAGTTCTTTTAAGTCCAGAAACCAGACTTTGCCTTTCTTCTCCTTCATCTTTGAATACAGCCATCCTTTCAAAAGGCATAATGAGGAATGTATCTTGTTGACACTTTGCAGTTCTGGAAGACAGAAAAAAATGCTGTCGTCATCACCATCATCATTGATAATTTTTATTTTTATTGAAAAGACCTTTATAGAATGAATTTTTCTCTTTACAGAAAACAGAAACAGAACAGGAAAATGGGCAAATGTTACAACCTGAAGCTGTCACGGGATCTGTCCTGGGAATTTTTAGTCTGCCAACTTGTCACAATCCATCACACTGATTGCTGTGTCACCTTGCATCTTGAATGAGCTGTTCTTGGCAAGAAAAAGCTAAACTTTCTTCCTAGGCTTTGCAACTCCTTTCCCTGCAACAGTGGCAGAGAGATGATGCCATTTATCTGGGCTTTCAGCAAGTGAGGACTGTCTTTACCTTTCTTT